AAAAAACAGGTTAGGGCATTCCTTGGATTGGCTGGATACTATCGAAAGTTTATCCCATCCTTTAGTAATCTGGCAGCCCCTCTTTCGGACCTTACAAAAAAGAAGAACCCGAACCAGGTAATTTGGACTCCAAATTGTCAAACTGCCATGGATAAATTGAAGGAATCCATTACTTCAGATTCCGTCCTAATGGCACCAGATTTTGACAAGCCTTTCATGTTAACGTGTGATGCCTCAGATACTGGGCTAGGAGCTGTCCTAAGCCAACTCGATATAGAAGGAGAAGACAGACCCATATTGTTTTTAAGTAAAAAATGGCATTCTAACGAGTATAGTATGTCAACTATTGAAAAGGAATGCTATGCCATTATCTGGTCAGTTAAGAAACTTAAACCATACTTATGGGGTAGGAAGTTTATCTTACAAACAGACCACGCTCCATTACGATGGTTGGATAATGTAAAAGGTACGAATAATAAGTTGTTGAGATGGAGTTTGTGTTTGCAGGATTTTGTGTTTGAAATGAAACATGTTTCAGGTAAACGAAATGTAGTTGCGGACGCTTTATCTAGGATTCCATAGTTTGGAGGTTTGTATAAATGTGCAATATAAATGTGTTTAACCATAATGTGTTTCCCTTTCAGGAATGTTATGTATATGTATTTATTGTTGAGTAATGTATGAAGTTATTTTTGCATTCTAGGACTAAGAATGGTGCAAAAATACTTTTTCTGGGGGGGAAGGTGTAGAGAAGTGTTTATTATACTGTGTTTTAAACTGTGTTTAGGCTTTACATTGTGGCCAGGGCCTAGCTGAGAGAGAGATAGGTTGCCATGGTGACAAGCCAGAGGAGGTGGGCGGAGCTTAGGTAAAAAAGGTTTGAAAGCGACAGTTTATTTTCAGTCAGGCGGATGAGACCCTGAGGAGAGTAGCAGAGTCAAGGAGGCTCTGTGGAGTAGTGTAAATTCAGTTAGTTCTTAGGTTTTGTGAATATTATTCCAGCTAGGAAGCTGAAGGTGGAAACTCGTTAGATTGCTTGAGTAGAAAAGAATCTAACAAGAAAGGGTTTCAGGGATCCCAGTGGTGAAAATCTGGAGATCGTTGGTTTGATCCGGTGAAGGACAAACAGTTGTAAATATTCACAATAGGGACACTGAAATAATAAAGTACCTCACTGTAGAAAGAGTTAAAGGATTGTAACATCGGAAGACTTAATGTAACTCAACCAAGCCATTTTGTATTCATCAAGCTTGTGCCAAGTTCAACAGTTTAATTTTGCAACAATTTACGCTCTGATAACAATAAACCTGTTCTTTTTGAGTTTTAAACTTGCCTCCTTCACTGATTTCCACGTTTGAAGCATTCCACACTACCCAAGGTGCCTCACAACACAGATAAGGATAACCAGAGATCATTTTTACCAATATCACTTATATTATGGTGGCAATTTAAGCTAGAAGTCTCAAATCTTTATTACATCTGTGTGGTGATCCTATTTATTTGGGATTTTACACCATTATTTCATTTTGGAGACTTCTCACATATTTTGGTGGCAGCAAGTGAACGGTTTTAAATTTTTAGTAACAAGCGGTGGGAGTCGCGGCCTCGCAGTTTCCATAGCATCAGGGTGCTTCCCAGGTGTGAGCGCACTTGTTCTTGCTGTGCCTCCAGCAAAGGACTGTTTGCAAGAAGTCTAGAATTGCCTTTTCCACCATATGCAAAATTACTGTGTGCTTAAGGTTTGTGTGAAACATACATTGATGTTGTATTTAGATTTGGGCCACAAGTCTGCAAGACATCTCATTATGGCATTTTGTTGGGGAATCTGAACTGTAAGGCTCAAAATAACTCTCAGTTTGGGTGATTCCACCTCCTGTTCAAGGAGCTCCACTGGCTGCCATTCATTTACCGGACCCAATTCAAGGTGCAGGTTCTTACCTACAAAGCCCCGAACGGTTTGAGACCCGCCTACCTGCGTGACCGCATCTCTGTATACGAACCCACACGATCTTTTCATTCATCTGGAGAGGCCCTGCTCTCGATCCCGCCAGCATCGCAGGCGCGATTGGTGGGGACGAGAGAGAGGGCCTTTTTGGTGGTGGCCCCTTGACTCTGAAACTCACTCCCTAAGGACATCAGGCAGGCTCCAACTCTGGCAGTCTTCAGGAGGAACTTGAAGACATGGTTGTTCCAGTGTGCCTTCCCGGAATAATGATCCCTTAGCACTTTGTCCCTCTAAAGCACTTTACATTTTTAGGTCTGCTCGTATGTCTTTCCACAAACGCCACTATCACCTTTTCGTCTATGTTTCAGCACTATTTCCAATTTTAATTTTACATTTGGCCTTCCCACAGTTTTTAATTGTATGTTGTCTTATTGATAATGTTATATGTTTATTATTCATGTTTTTATTTTAATTGCTTGTATTGTTGTGATTATTGCTTGTATTGTTGTGATTATTGCTTGTATTGTTGTGTTTGGGCTCGGCCTCATGTAAGCCACACCGAGTCCCTTGGGGAGATGGTAGCGGGATACAAATAAAGTGTTGTTGTTATTATTATTATTATTATTATTATTATTATTATTATTAATATAGCAGAGTATCAGAATTAAACCTCATAACCAGCAGAAACTTATGTGTGGTGAGTTAGGATAAACTTTTATTTCCTGGACTGCACAAGTTTCTTGTGTCATCAAGTTTCCAGATCTCAATCAGTAGCTAGACTAGAGATAGAATTAGGCTGAGGGATTCCTCCCCCCACATTCCTATGTATATTTCCCCAAAAGGCGCTTTGTCTTTCCTCCTCCTGCTAGCCATTGTCTCCTCCCCCTTCAAGGATGTAGCACTGGAATTCTGTGAGGGAACTTCCTCTTTAAGTTTTATTGCCCCTGGGTTGACCATGTGGTCTCCTCCATTGTGTCTTCTGCTTTTTCTTCCCTTCCAGTAAGGATGCATTTTGCCTCTCTCAAGGCAAAATGTAGCTGCATGTACATTTTAATGTTTTACCTTCCTTAGACAATGAGATTTAGTAAGCTAGTTAGAATCCCAAAATCTGAATTTTTCTTATTCCAAGCATTTTGGGGGAGGAATACTCAACCTTTTTATATCATATACAGTGTGTTGTTCTCTGTCTCTGTTAAAACGCTATCTCCCTGGTGTTTACTTCTGTTTGCAGATTGAACACCTTGCATTTCATCCAAAAAGATCTCCACAGAAACAGTTTTGGCCATAGTGAAATATTTTGTCAGAGTATAAAATCATCCTGCCTTTCCCAGGTTCCTTGCAGGCGCTCTATATTTGGAGCTATATTTGGGTTCAGCAATATATCCTTAATCATAGCAGCAGTGTCTTCAGGCTGCCTCTCTGAAGGCAGAACAATAACCTGCATGAAATAACCGCTGCTGCTTTTATGTTCCCAAGCCCAAAATTGTCTCTCTTGGAATTTAATAGGACGTTGGTGTTTGCAGCCAGGGGAGCCTCTTACAATTTGTTTTATCTACTTGGAACTGGGTAGGAATAACTACTTAATCGTTTTTATGCATAATTGAAGATTAGCTGCAGGATAATTAAGGCCCACTCGGTAAGCTTTGGGATAATGGAGCAATTTGTCCATTTGAAGTATTACTTTTCAGGTGAATCATTCAAAAAATAAGAATAAAAAAATGTAAAGCCATAATCTAGCCTCACTATGATACTGTGAAACCTGACTCAAGCGGCTGCCTCTCAGAAGTCCCTCATTCGGGTTCCTAAATCACAAAGGCAAAAAACGCTTGCTGACAAAGCCCTTCAATTAAATTGGAGTGGTTTGTAATATCTGTTTAAATGCCTGCAATGCAGAGTGTTAAATCTAGACAACAGTGCCTTTATTCTTTTCCGATTTTTTTTCCTGGTCCTTTGCTAAATCCCAATCTGCCAGTGTTAGGCTACTTCTGTGGTTCTTTTAGGGGCTGAACCCAACCTGTTAGAAATCCCTCCAAAGTTGTTCTCCTTTTTTCTTATGACATAAAGTCCTAATGGTTTCCAGGCTGAGTAACTGAAATATTTTATGTACTGCTTAGTTAATTGATAAAATAAGCCCAAAGTGCTCATTATTTAATTCCCCATTCTTGCACCTCTCCTTCCCCATAACTGAAATATGTCCTAACCCAACTCACCAGACTACAGCTCCCATGATTCTTTAGCGCTTAGCCATGACAGTTAAAGTAGTGTCAAACTGCATTAATTCTAAGTAGTATAGACTGGAGTTTATCCTTCTGACATTTTTGTTTGTTTTCCTGACCTGTAATGTACTTTTTGGAGCCCCCGGTGGCACAGCAGGTTAAACCGCTTAGCTCCTGAACTTGCTGACTGAAAGTCGGTGGTTTGAATCTGAGGAGCAGAGTGAGCTCCTGCTGTTAGCCCCAGCTTATATCAACCTAGCAGTTCAAAAACATGCAAATGTGAGTAGATCCGGCAGGAAGGTAACGGTGCTCCATGCAGTCATGCCAGCCACATGACCTTGGAGGCATCTACGGACAATGCAGGGTCTTCAGCTTAGAAATGGAAATGAGCACCACTCCACAGAGTCAGACACAACAAGATTTAATATCAAGGGAAATCTTTACCTTTAATGTACTTTTTAGCTAAATGGAATTAGTTAAATGATTATCCCTAAGCGGTGAAATGAATGTCTTGCATTAAGGGCAGTTTCTGTGTTGCTTGCGTTTACTGCATTTCTGTTTTCTCTTAATTATCGCAGTCTCTGCTCTGACCTCAACCGTCTCGTTCTTCCGACGGCACATACGTTTTCTGCCATTTTTCATTTCCATTTGCCTTTGCCATCCTCATCTCTCTCCACGGAGGGTCTTGTCTTTTGTCCTTGATACCGCGGTGAGCTCTGAAATTGCTCTCTCACGCTTCGCGAATGCTAATTCTCGAGAACAGGTTGCACAGATGGAAAGCTGATGCTGTTCCTCCTGCCCTTCAAAGAGTAATTGATATTTTTGTCTGGCTGGTGCAGCACTGACGCGGATTCCTGAGGCTTCGGAGGAAGAACTGGGAGCGCTCCAATCTTTCTGTGCTGTCAAGATTAACTGGCTTCATCATCCGCCAAGTTTAGCACCACCAAAGAGGAGAAAGTATAAGGATCAGAGCCACAGACGCACTTCTGAGAAGCTGGCGATGGGTGATATCAACTGCATTGTCCCTGATCAGTTAGTGAACAGACTCCGTCTGAAAAATATCAAGGAGACCCTGAAGCAGGTACTAAAAAAAGAAATCTAACAGAAGCAATAACTCCCAAAAAGATAAACAATGTAGGATTTCAACATTGTCAGGTGTTTCAGGATTCCTTCTGAGAAGATGGATACACACACATGCAGGGGTTATTTTTCAAAATTACTTTAGATAGAAGGAACAATAGTTTGGGGGCATATTGGCTTGCTGCACGAAGAAACTCATACAGACCTGCATTTGTAATAAAGACAGTTCCAAAAGTAAGATTAGCCTTAAGTAAAACAGTGGTTTTCCTGTAAGATGGTGTATTATTTAGGGCAGGGGTTCTCAAACTTTTTCAGCTGCAGAGCCCTTCTTGAAGCAAAAGTTTTGAAGCATAAGAAATGTTTATATATAATATTATATATACTGTTTATATATCAGGCATGGGCAAACTTTTTGATGCATTTTGTTTTGAAATTTGACAGGTGGGCTGGGCCAGTGGCAGATGGATGAAGAGCGTTTGTGTGAACTAATTGAAAAAAAAAAACAAATTCCTATGGACACGGCATGTGTCTCACTTGTAGTGCAAAAAAGAAAGAAAGAACGATACAATATTTAATATTTCAGTAGACGCCAGGGGCCAGCCAGCCAACCAACCCCTTTCTGCTTTGCATGAAAAGCACAATCAAAGCATTCCCAACAGATGGCCATCCAGCCTTTGTTATAATATTAATAGGACCAACCCCAGGGGCCACTCAGGCAACCCCCTTCTGCCATGTAGGGAAAGTACAATTGAAGCACCCCTAACAGATGTATTAGTATTTATTTATATATATACCATATTTATATACCCTCTCAGCCCAGAGGCAACTCGGAACAGTTTATAAGTAGCAATGATTCGATGCCTCAACAGTCATAACAATAAAAAAGTTAAAACACAAAATTAAAAAACTATTAAAACATTAACATACAATATAAAATATATAGTAGTAGTAGTGGAAATAATAGCAACCGTAGGGGCCAGTCAACCTCCTTCTGCCAAGCCAGAAAGTCACAATCAAAGCCTCCTCAACAGATGGCCGTCCAGCCTTTGCAATAATAATAATAGTAATAGGAGCAACCCCAGGCACCATCTAGTCCAACCCCCTTATGCCATGCAGGAAAAGCACAATCTATGAATCCCCAACAGATGGCCACCCAGTCTTTGTAGTAGCAGTAATAGAAGTTGTAGTAGGACTAGTAGTAATAGGAGCAACCCTAGGGGCCAGCCAACCAATCCCATTCTGCCATGCAGGAAAAACACAATCAAAGAATCCCCAACAGATGGCCATCCAGCCTTTGCAATAATAATAATAATAATAATAATAATAATAATAATAATAATAGGAGCAACCCTAGGGGCCATCATGTCCAATCTCCTTCTGCCGTGCAGGAAAAGCACAATCAAAGCACTCCCAACAGATGACCACCCCAACTTTATAGTAATAGTGGTAAAATAATAATAATAATAATAATAATAATAATAATAATAATAATAATAATAGCAGAAATCCCAGGGGCCATCCAGTTCAACTCCTTTCTACCATGCAGGAAACACACAATCAAGTCACCCCTTAGCAGTGGGAGGGAAATAGAGTTTTGGAAGCAAGCAAGGCAAGGGGAAAGGGATCTGGGTGGTGAGGAAGGTGAGGAAAAAAGGCTTTTGGTGGCAAGGGAGATGGGAGGAGGAGGAGGAGCAGGAAAGAGGAGGAAAAGTTTAGAGGGGGAGAGGAGGAGGGAACTGCAGAGGTTCTCAGTATGCTTTGTGGAGCACACTTTGAGAACCAAATCCAAATGTAACATACGTTGTTGTCTTTCAATAAGCATAATTTAGCCTTGTTTATTGCACTGGTTTTGTGGAAACGGTATATTAGCAAGGATAAACTATTGGGAGGTTGAATTTAGACATTGGCTAGCATTCAGGATCATAATATCACAGACCTCTTCCTCTTGGTGCCACTGATCCTGCATAAAGTAGATTTGAGGGAAATTGGACTAGAAGGCATTACTTAGTTAATGCACACACAACTAAGCAGCTGATGTCGAAGACCAGCCATAATTTCTAGTGAAAGTCTTAATTATTTGTTGGTTTTACCCCTCAGTTAGCAGAAATCGAAATACACCAACCCTCGCAGTGTCCACACTGCGTGGAGAAAAGAGCAGAGCTGGCAGAATCTGATTTCCTCAGACGCAGGAAGGTTTTGATGGAAAAGGTCTTGCTCCAAGAGAAACTGGAAGACTACATGTACAACAAGGTAAGTCAGGACATTTTTGCAAGCGTCCCAATAATTCCTGATCACTTTAAATCCAATTGTTTGTCTCAACTTAAGCAGACTGTGGCTTTAATGGAATTGGCATAAAGTCTTGATTTAACACTCAGCTGTTGATTCAGTTTATCTGGACTGAGACAAAGAATTTGCAGAGCTTTTCTTAACCTGATTTATTTTCCTGTTTTATTGTATTCTTATTTTTTATTTATTTTATTCTGATGTTTCTTTTGTGTTTTTGGTTTTCTTCTGTTGTAATGCGCTACTGGGCTTGGCCTCATGTAAGCCACCAAAAGTCCCCTTTGGGCAGATGATGGCGGGGTATAAATAAAGATGATGATGATGATTATTATTATTATTATTATTTGAAACACAACAAGATGAGTCCACAGCAGACACTCTGCTGGCTGTTGAATTGGATCACACGGACACTTCCCAAGTGTCTAGGACCATGTGATGTATCGGCAAATAATGCGTGCAGATCCCAGTAAGGTGGCCTTTTGCGGCTGGCAGATGGTAATTTTGTCAGCGCCTGTTTAAGTGCAGGCCAAGGTCTTTAGGCACTGCACCCAGTGTGCCGCATCACCACTGGGACCACCTTTACTGTCTTGTGCCAGAGTTTTTGCAGTTTGATCTTTAAATCCTTGTATCGTGCCAGCTTTTCCAGTTGTTTCTCTTCAGTCCTGCTGTCACCTGGGATTGCGACATCAACGATCCAAACTTTGTTTTTTAACACAATTGTGAGGTCAGGAGTGTTGTGCTCCAGAATTCTGTCTGTCTGAATTCGGAAGTCCCAGAGTAGCTTGACGTGTTCATTTTCTGTAACTTTTTCCAGCTTGTGATCCCACCAGTCCTTTGTTGCAGGCAGATGGTATTTGTGGCACAAGTTCCAATGAATCATCTGGGCAACGATGTTATGCCTCTGCTTGCAGTCTGTCTGCGCGATCTTCTTGCAGCAGCTGAAGATATGATCTATTGTTTCATCTGCTTCCTTGCAGAGTCTACATTTGGGATCTGTTGTTGACTTTTCAATTCTGGCTTTCATGGCATTGTTATTATTATTATTAGTTGAAAAGGGTATTTCACCCAAAATGTGTGAAACCAACTTGGCAATTTGAGGAGAAATGTTTTCATGAATCTTTGGAAAAGTGGGATATTACTACTACTACTACTACTACTACTACTGTGGGGTTGCGGTGGCACAGTAGGTTAAACTGCTAAGCTGTAGAACTTGTTGATCAGAAGGTTGGTGGTCCAGATCCGTGGACAGGGTGAGCTCCTGTTGTTGGCCCCAGCATCTGCCAACCTAGCAGTTCGAAAATGTGCAAATGTGAGTAGATCAATAGGTACTGCTTCGGCAGGAAGGTAACAGTGCTGCGTGCAGTCATGCCAGCCACATGACCTAGGAGAGGGGAAACCTCTACCTTTTCTTTTACTACTATTATAAAGGTAAAGATAAAGGTTTTTCCCTGACATTAAGTCTAGTCATGTCCAACTCTGGGGGGTGATGCTTATCTCCATTTCTAAGCCAAAAAGCCAGCATTGTCCATAGACGCTTCCAAGGTCATGTGACTGGCATGACTGCATGGATTGCTGTTACCTTCCCACTGGAGTGGTACCTATTGATCTACTCACATTTGCATGTTTTCAAACTGCTAGGTTGGCAGAAGCTGGGGCTGACAGCGGAAGCTCATGCCACCCCCCAGATTAGAACCTGCGACCTTTTTTGTCAACAAGTTTAGAGCGGTACCTATTGATCTACTCACATTTGCATGTTTTCAAACCTCACAACCTCTGAGGATGGCTGCCATAGATGTAGGCAAAACATCAGGAGAGAAGTCTTCTGGAACATGGCCATACAGCCCGGAAAACTCACAGCAACCCTATTGTTGTTGTTGCTTTTGTTGTTGTTATTCTCAACAGCTCTTCAAAGGGAAACGTTTCACCATCTCTCTCATTCCTATTAGGATTCTCTCACCCTCATTGGAGAAATCCACCAGACCCTTCCTAAGCTTTCAGATGATCCAAGGCACATATGGCAGAGATTGAAGGAGAGAGCTCTGAAATCCTTGTGTGAGGCCTCCTAGCCCTGTGTGGGTCCATCGAGGCAGAACACAGATTCTGAATCCACGTAAGTTGCTCCCTGGAGAGGAGTGGAGCCTTTGCAATATCAACAATCAATTCTCTGGGCAAACGTGTGTCATCTTTTGGGTCAGATACTGTGATCTCATTCTTCATCCCATCCTGAAGCAGAACCCCCCCCCCCCCCCAAAAAAAAACCCTTTAATGCTATAACTGACCTTTTTTCCTCCCCGCAGTCCCCATTATGGAAGAGGAAAGTATTATTGTTATTATTCTAGCAAGCCTCTGGCATTGGTTTTTTTTGTTTTTGTTTTTTTTGGTGAATTTCCTTTATGTGACCTTAGAGCAACTCAATGCTTCTGCTTCCATCTGTAAGGAAAACAAATGATTATCTTTTACTCAAAGCAAGGAGGAGGTGTAATAACTGGGTTTCAGCCCAGTAGGTGCCTGCTCCCCCTTGTGAAATGTAAAGCTTGGAGAGCCAGGTAGATGAAAAGGGAGAGGAATGGCAGGAGAGGGAAACGAGAGTGTGAGATGGCTAACAAGGACAAATATATTGAGGAATTAATCTGCAACCCTGATGATTCCAAGGCAGCAAGCAGTGGCATCAAATTAAAGATGTTGTTTGTGGATAGGGAAGCAAGAAGAGCATGAAAGAGCTGATATAAATGTAATACAAATGTTGTCATGCTTTTTTTGTTTTTGAATTGGTATGATTGGTTTGTGGGAATTGATATGTGTGTGTGTGCGCGTGCGCTCATTTTCTGTGCGCATTCAGAAGATGTACAAGCCACTCTAAACACCTTTGCAAAAGCATATGAGCAGCTTGGCCTGTCATTAAACATCGAGAAAACCAAAGTCCTCTTCCAGCAGTCACTGGCCAGTCCCTCTCCAATGCCAGAAATACAGCTTAATGGTGTAACATTAGAAAATGTTCACCATTTCCACTACCTTGGCAGCCACCTCTCCACAAAAGTCAGCATTGACACTAAAATTCGACACCTCTTGAGCTCTGTGAGTGCAGCCTTTTTCCGAATGAAGCAGAGAGTGTTTGAGGACCGGGATACCAAGGTGCTTGTTTATAAAGCTATTGCCCTCCCAATCCTGCTATACGCCTGCGAGACATGGACAGTCTACAGACATCACATGCAACTCCTGGAATGATTCCATCAGTGCTATCTCCAGAAAATCCTACAAATCTCTCAGGAAGACAAGCAGACAAATGTCAGTGTGCTGGAAGAAGCAAAGACCACCAGCATTGAAGTGATGGTCCACCGCCATAAACTCTGCTGGACCAGCCACGTTGTCCGGATGCCTGACCACCGTCTCCCAAAGCAGTTGCTCTACTCCGAACTCAAGAATGGAAAACAGAATGTTGGTGGGCAGGAAAAGAGATTTAAAGATGGGCTCAAAGCCAACCTTAAAATCTCTGGCATAGACACTGAGAACTGGGAAGCTCTGGCCCTTGAGCGCTCCAGCTGGAGGTCAGCTGTGACCAGCAGTGCTGCAGAATTTGAAGAGGCACAAATGGAGGGTGAAAGAGAGAAACGTGCCAAGAGGAAGGAACGTCAAGCCAACCCCGACTGGGACCGCCTTACACCAGGAAACCAATGCCCTCACTGCGGGAGAAGATGCAGATCAAGACTTGGGCTCTACAGTCACCTACTGACCCACCGACAGAACACCGACCTTGGAAGGCCATCATCCTCGAACTATGAGGGATCGCCTAAGTAAGTAATTGTGTGTGTGTGTTTCCCTGTTATGGTTATTCACTGTATATGTTTGAAAGTGCTGTTTAATGGAAGGAGGTAAGCTACACACACACACAAAAAGGTTTGCCCCAAGTGCAGTCAGTAAAATCTCTCCTTCCATGTGCGGGGCATAGTAGAATGGGAGTGGAATAAGGGTGACATTTCTCATTTTGCCAACAGTGCTTGCTTGTTACGCAAGCCAACAAGAATTTTTCATCAGATATAATTTTAGGTCATTCTTATAGTGTGTTTTGAGCTGAATTCAGATCTGTGTTTATTTTTTCTCTATCTCTGCAATGAGGCTAATTGAATAATTAATGCATTTATGCACTGATGTCAATGGAATCTGATATCAGTGCGTAAATGCATTAATTATTTGATTAGCCTCATCACAAAAACTACACATCATAGAGAAAAAAATAAACACAGATCTAAATTCAGCTCAAAACACTTTATAAGACTGACCTAAAATTATATCTGATGAAAAATCCTTGTTGGCTTGTGGTTAATTAGATTCTATTGATATCAGTATGTAAATGTATTAATTATTTGATTAGCCTCATCTCAAAAACTACACGTGAATTGATCCAAACTTGGCACACGAAACTCCCATGGCGAACAGAAAATACTGGGAAGGTTTGTCGGGCATTGACCGTGAGCTTTGGAGTTGTAGTTCACCTATATCCAGAGAGCACTGTGGACTCAAACAATGATAGATCTGGACCAAACCTGGCACGAATACTCAATATGTCCAAATGTGAACATTGGTGGAGTTTGGGGAAAATAGACCTTGACATTTGGGAGTTGTAGTTGCTGGGATTGATAGTCCACCTACAATTAAAGAGCATTCTGAACCTCACCAACGATAGAATTGGGCCAAACTTCCCACACCTTGAAGAGAGCTGCTGGTGGAAGCCTCCCTCCAGCCTCACATGCTCTCCCTCACCCCGCGCATGCGCACAACACTGCCATGTGGCAAGCATGCCTCCCCTCCTCGTCCAGAGTCTCAGAAACAGCCCTCCCCTCGGCTGAGAGGCAAGTGAATCACAGCGGAAGAGGGCTTTTGATGGGAGGATTCACCATGTGTTTCCAAAAAGGAAGAGAAGGACAGGCAGAGAGATCTTCAGGCTTTTCTGCCAAAGGTGTTCCTAAGACCATCAGAAATATTGGCGACTCCTTTGCAACCCCTTTGCAACCCCTGCAGTGGTCCCGACCCCCAGGTTGAGAAATGCTGAATTAGATCCTTGATAATAAGAAAAGCTTCCCCCAATAACTTGATATTCACTGCTTCTTTATTTCTTTTATTTAGTAATAAAATAGTATTGTTTTGTTCCCACGTCGAATCATGTTTATGATCCATAAATACATTTTCCAAAATACCTCTGTGGCAATTGCTCCCAGGCTTCCTGAGAAGGTCCCACGAAAACCCATATTTGCATATCCTTATGCACCTTTTTAAAGACTTGAATTAGTCCCCTCCCCGCCCCATTTCCTTCTACAGTGTTTAAAACTGGACACTTATGCATTATTATTATTATTTTGCCTCCCAAAGAAAGATGTACAGCATTCCCACAGTTTCACAGCTCATTGAAAAAGAAGCATTACATTGGCTAATGATAATCGCAAGCAAGCTATATACTTTAGCAGGATGGTTATATCTCTATATTTACATACTACCTACTTAAAAACCAAACCAATCCAAATAATTGTTCTGATGTTATAGTCTATACTCCGCTTAAAAATGATTAGTGGACTCGCATTCGAGCCATACTTTTCTATGATGTAAATGCGATAAACGACAAAAATAGAAACATGCTAAAAAGGAATAGGAAGCATGGATGGGTCAGAAATTAGGGTTATAATCCTGTCGAAAGAAAGGCTAGCTGAGGAATCATATGAGTTGCTTAAATATGTGTATGAATTAAAAGAAGAGACAGATTTCCCCTTATGCGTGTACATGCTCCAGCCGGGCCTCATCTTAGATCAGAGATGGACAACTTTTAGGTTTGGAAGACCACATTGAACTGCCAAGGGACCAAGGACACTCCAAAATGTTTTGGAAAATGAGTTCTATGATCCCAAGGGATCCAATTTTCCCACCTTTTTGTCTCTCTGGACAATTTCCTAAACATAAAGGGACCTAAAGTCACCCTCTGGATCACTTCGTGTTGAAAAAAAAAAGCCTCTCCTGGAATTAAAATAGATTGGGAAGGTCAATTATGGAGTATATCTTCTTTCTCCATAAATATATTACTTAAGTAAACAAGTAATATACAGTAGAGTCTCGCTCATCCAACATTCTGTATTATCCAACGCAGTCTATGTAGCTGTGTGGATCCACAGCTGTTTCAATACTTTGTGATGTTTTGGTGCTAAATTCGTAAATATCGTAATTACTATAGAACGTTATTGTGTATTGAACTGCTTTTTTCTGTCGATTTGTTGTAAAACATGATGTTTTAATGCTTAATTTGTGAAATCGTACTGTAAAGTGATTTGTAAAATCATAATGTAATGTAATGTAATGTGGAATAGAACAGACAACTCTGCATCTGTATGCTTGTCCATTATGCTCATGTACAGAGGAAGAATTGTTGGAGGCTACAGACAATGCCATTGCTGTTGCCCATTTTTGGTCAAAAGATATTTAGCCACCTGTGCTCCTTCTATTTTTATCAGTTTTATACTAATTTATGCAATGCTTTTGATATGAAATAAATAAATCATGTAATTTGACGTTTAATAGGCTTTTCCTTAATCCCTCCTTGTTATCCAACATTTTTAGTTACCCAACGTTCTCCCGGCCCGTTTATGTTGGATAAGTGAGACTCTACTGTACTACTTTTCTCCCATATGGAACTCAAAGCAAGAACCAAGGCCAAATTAGATCCTGGGAATGTGGAGGTAGAAGAGCTTTCATTTCCTCCCAGAAAACAATTTGGGCTGTAAAGATGGCACTCACATGTTCCATTTTCTCTTGTCTCTCTGAAGCATCCTTTTGCAGAGGCATCCCTTTGTCTAAGAGGGGAGAGAAAGCGTTTTATAAGGTTTCACTGCATGAAATAGTATCTTTATTTATGTGTGGGGTCTGTTTTTTTTTTGGCATTTCTTTAAAATGCCCATTGAAATCAACCCAGTTAGACTGCGGGCAATTGATTCTGCTCTTCTAGAAATGTGTATTTGGATTGCAAGTTGGAATCTGTTCTCTTTGGTCCCAAGTGGTCTTACGGCTTAGAAAAGAAAGGCTAGGATTCCATCTAAACATTAGGAAGAACTTCCTGACTGTGAGAGCCGTTCAGCAGTGGAACTCTCTGCCCCGGAGTGTGGTGGAGGCTCCTTCTTTGGAAGCTTTTAAACAGAGGCTGGATGGCCATCTGTCGGGGGTGCTTTGAATGCAATATTCCTGCTTCTTGGCAGGGGGTTGGACTGGATGGCCCATGAGGTCTCTTCCAACTCTATGATTCGATGATTCTAGGATTCAAAGGATGACTTTTAGTGTGTCCACCTGAATTCCATCTTGGTTTTCCCCCTTTCAGTGGACAGATGCTGATCTGGATCAATTCAAGGCATTTGGGGGCATGAAACAAACAGAACTGATTCCTCTCTCTATAATATCATGTACAAAAGCTGCCTTAATAATAAGTTGAAATGTAATTCAGATAATATCTTCTAGAGTACTCCTTAAGCTGCACTCCCAGTTTCATATGGCATCCTTCTGCTGGGCATTACCATACATTCACACTGGAATATATAAAAATCTCTAGAAATGTTCTCCTTCCTCCAGTGCAATTCTGATAATTTCCAGCAGAAGTTGTTTATTTCAATAAAGTTTGCTATTTTCCATGTTTTCTTGTTTCCAGGGATAAGTTTTGAAAATATCCCGCATGGATAAGAGGCTGTTATTTTATAAATACTGGATACACCTTCATTGTCATAAGTCATGAATATCTATGTATGTCACTGTCAGCACAGTAAGCCCTTGTTGGGAATGATCACTCTCAGGATATCTGTTGGGTTTCATCCCTGGACTGCACAAGTCTCTTGTGTGATCAAGTCTCCAGTTCTCAATGAGAAGTTAGAGATAGGATTAGAGTGAGGGATTCCTCCCCCCCCCCCATTCCAATGCATGTCTATCCACTATCTACTCCCCCTTTGAAGATGTAGCAATGGAATCTCTGTGAGGTATGAGGTAACTTCCTCTTTAAATGTATTTTTATTGCCCTGGGTTTGGCCATGTGGTCATTCTCCATTGTTGGCTCTCCCTCTGCTTTTTCTTCCTTCCATTGAGGACGCATTTTGCCTTTCTCCAGGCAAAATGTAACTGCATGGATATTTTTTGACTTTTTATCCTTTTACTTCCTAGAATATGAATTTTAGTAAGCTCCAAGACCTTTTCTATCTCGAATTGATTTCTTTTTACTTTAATAAATATTTTGAACTTAAATTCTGATTCTTCAATCCTGTGCCATCCTGTTGCTGGCTCTCCACACATAAGTTTTTGCTACCCATAAGGTTTTCTTTTAGCACTCGGCTATATTTATGGTGGAATCATCCTAAGTGAGGGTTATTTTGAGTCTAACAGCTCAGATTCCCTTCAATGTTGGACTGCAATGCTGGAAAGGACAACCCAGCAGTCTAATCTCTAACCCAATCCAACATGAGGCACATGTGTAAGTAACAATGGAACTCAAGCTGCCTTTTGGGGAACACTAGCCATAGGATTTGAAATGCTGTCCTTTAAACACTTGTCCCAATATCATGGATTTTAAGCCCATTGGCAGCCCCCTATTTGGTGGTGCATTCTTTGGACACAACCACTCCTTTCATCCTTATTTGTAAAGGGCTTTGATCAGAAATGGAAGCATCTAACTCTTTCATGCTTCCAAATGAAGCAAAACATATTAACACCATTTTTAAAAGGAGTTATGATTGTTAATTGCATGGGCAAACTTTTGCCTTCCAGGTGTTTTGAAATACAACTCCCACAATTCCTAACAGCCAATAGGCTGTTACGAATTGTGGGAGTTGTAGCCCCAAACACCTGGAAGGCCAAATTTTGCCCATGCCTGCACTAGGCCCATCTTTTTACAACCATTTCACACCTAATGGTAAGATTCCCGTGTTAGAACTAAACTGTTCATCACTAGCAGTGATGTTTCAGTGCATTTTCTGCACATATGTGCATTTTCACTGTTTTAAATAGAATAACCATTCAAATCAGTGAAATTTGAGGCTTTCAAAAAGGGTATTTTCTTGGTTGGCGTTTAGCAGCATTTGATCTTTTTTGTTTCTGAAATTCGGACAGTACCCTTTAGCTGTTCAGTTAGCAGATTTATATGGTTTTCTGTTCTTTCTTTTCTTTTCTTTCTTTCTTTCTTTCTTTCTTTCTTTCTTTCTTTTTTTTTTTGCAATAGCTGACATTTGAGCCCTTTTATTGCCAAGAGACTCATCTGAGCTAAAGGAAAAGCTGCCATTCTCAAACCAGAGTGATCCTATTGCACATTATGAAGCGGCTCGTTGGGAGTATTGCGACCCTGGGATCCCGGCAGGACACCAAATGCAACATCGTTATGAATAAATACATCTAACGTAAGAGAGAGGCACACCACAGAATGACAGGTGTCGATCGGATCAAGCAACCATTATTGTGGCCCCTTCGTACATTCCAAGTCCCCATATCCTCACCCTTTTCTCAGTCAATATTATCTGCAAGCTCAGCTCGATGGGATTGTTCTTCCCAGTTTTTTGTTTGTTTTTATGTGTTAGGTCCTTAGGAAACGAGCCTGGGCTTGCTCTGGAGCCCACTGCTTTCATGGTCCCTCTGGTACTCCTCGTGGGCTTTCTGGAGCCTTTTGCTCCTCAGTTTCCATTTGTGAAAGCAGTAGGTCACCAGGGAAGTGGTGACCAAGGAGAGGATGAGAGCCAGCACCACCACTAAGGCCACGGCTGATGACAGGGACTCTTGGGTTTGTGGGGCCGCAGTGTCCCGTGTGGCATTCAGGATCCCATAAGTCTCGTATTCCCTGGCTGACAAAAATGCCGGGATGGAGGTGCCTCCCAGTCTGGGCCTCATTGGAATAATAGCAGATAGAAGCCAACTTCTGGATTAGGTCTATCTTTTTCAGAAGCACATGGGAAAGAAATCCCTGTTATCATAAGACAATTAATGTGTTCATTGGGAAGACAATGTTCCTCGTAATCACAGCTCCCAATGAAACATAGTCCACAAAAATTCACTTGGAAATGCTGGTGCACTACAAATCATGCATATCCCAACATTGGAACCACCTTTTGGTTTAAAACTCCGAATACTGTTGGATAGAAGTCAACTTCTGGGCTAAGTTTCTTTCTTTTTCAAAGCGCATGGGATAGGAATCCCTATTATCATGAGCCAATGTGTCTGGAAGACAATTTTCCTCACAATCACAGCTCCCAACGTTGCATACTCCACAAAAATCACTTGGAAATGTTGGTGCACAACAAATCATGCACATCCCAACCTTCTCCACTAACAATTGGAATTGTTCTTTAGATTTTTTTTAATTTCAAGTTTTGGATGCTGTCATATATGACCCAACTTCTTGGCTAGGTTTCTTTCATTTTCAAAGCTGCCTGTGATAGGAATCCATGTTGTAATAAGATTTTGAGACGACCATTTTTGCATATCCCAGTAATTTTTCTTGCAATTATGGTTCCCAATGTTGCATAGTCCACAAGAACAACCTAGAGAAGTTGATGCACTACAAAACATGCATATCCCAACCTTCTCCACTAAAATCTGGAATCACTTTTCAGGGCTTTTTAATGGATAGTTACTTGATGACATTCCAAAACATTGTACCAGAAACCAGCTAGTAATTCAGATGGCTCTCAGAAGGACCACCAAGCTCCCATTCAAAAGTCCTTGAGTGACTGGAGGATTGGTTCTTCCCAAGGTGGACGATGCTACAATGAATTCCACCCAAGTCGTTTTCATTCACATATTTATGCACCTTTGTTCTTCTGGAACCTGTTACTCAGTGTTTCTTCAGGTGTTCTTCATCCCTCAGCAGGAAAATGAGGAGTTCTCCATGTCGGTTGGACTCTCTGGAAATACGACCTAAGTAAAGAAAAGGTCAAAGGATTAGTTCAGAGTCAGTTGCATTAAAAGTACAGTCAGTCCTCCAGATTTCCCAGGGTTAGGGGAACAGGACCCCCATGGATAAAGAAATGCTAATTTTTTGCCTCTCTAAGAATTTCTCTGTCTTCCATCATGTATCTAAGGCCAACTTCCACTAGAACAGTGGTTCTCAACCTGGAGTCCCCAGATGTTTTTAGCCTACAACTCCCAGAAATCCCAGCCAGTTTAGCAGCTGTTAGGATTTCTGGGAGTTGAAGGCCAAAAACATCTGGGGACCCCAGGTTGAGAACCACTGCACTAGAAGCTGACCATAGAATCGCACTGGAGAGCCGAGGAATAGGTCCTCCAGTATGACTAGAAGAAGACTAGAGGTAGATTGAAAAAACCTACATACTTCTGCAAAAAAAAATGGATTAAATCAATGAAAGATCAATGCTCAAAAACCACTAATGTGGAAGGCTGACTGTACATTTTGGCAGAAACAAAGTACGTATGAGTTTCTGCACATGAAAACCTAACAAGTGTCTATAGCCACTCATGTAGCAGCAGATAGGAGAGATAATACCAAGAGTGATTCTTTCTGGGAGGCAGAAAAGTACGTTTATTTTCTGCTGAGACTCTGACATGGAATTAGGTCCAAAAGCCAACCAGAGTAAGGATAAAAGCATTGCCTTTCCCTTTTATACATCTTCAAATGCAGGCAAACAAAGAAACATGCTTCTACATACGTTAACATCATCGCTACGTCGCTTTTGCATCATAGAAATATCAAATTATACCTTCGACATGCAAGGGGCATGTCTTCATATTTTTTCTAAAGCAGCTTACAGCAAGTTAGATATGACTAGGATTCAGCTTACACAGATTCATCAGGGGCCCTACTTTTGACTTGTCAGGAGGGAGGGAGAGAAACTCCTAACTTTTTACTTATATCTGTTGGTACCAGGACTTTCTTACCTCGCCCCACTGGAATGTTCACCCCCCTCTTGCCTGTGCCTTGGACACAGATACTTCAGCTTCCCTTTATCCTGTCAGCTTGGCTTTCTAATACAGAGAGAACCTGATTTTTCTTACATTTCAATGCTTCCTAATGTACATACAATATATGTATAAATATCTGTATTTCCAATATCTCCACATCACTCTGATGGACTGAGTTCCTGCACATTTCCTGTATACTTAAATCCACTTTCTGGATTCCAGCCACTCCTTTTTTCAAAACTAAATCGAATAACTCTGTATCTGGTTCTGGGCTCCACAATTCAAGAAAGACATGGAGAAGATGGAAGGTGTCCGGAGAATGGTTCAAGGTCTGGAAACCATGAATCCTTCCGAGGAATGGCTTAGGGAGCTGGGAATGTTTAACTTAAAGAGACAGCTGAGAGAAGGGGACGTGAGAGCCATGTTTGAATATTGGAAAGGATTGTCCCATTGAAAAGGGGGAAGCCAGTCTAGAGAAAAAGATACAATGGAGCAATGGGTTCAAATGGCAGAAAAAGAGATTCCACCTAAAGAACTTCTTGGCAGAACTGTTCAGCAGTGGAGTATGCTGTTGCCTGGAAGACCAGTGGACTTTCCTTCCTTCTCTGGAGGTTTTAATCAGAGGCTGGATGGTCTTCTGTCAGGAGGGTTTTATGGTTGAAGGGGGTTGGACTGGATGTCCCTTGGGTGCCCCATCTGAACTGCATCCTATGGTCAATGCTATGAAGATGAGGCCAGAGTCTCTTCCAACTCGATGACTCCATGGAAAGTGGATGCAGAAGGTGTGGCTTTCCCCATCCGTTCTTTACTTGGCCTTCCCTCCCTCACTTGCTCTTGGTGGCACGGATCCAGCAGAGAAGAACAGTTGTGCCAAGGAGCAAGGAACAGGTGAGGAGGGGGAAGAAGCAGTCCCTTCTGCAACAATATGCTCTAAGCCAGTGTTTCTCAACTTTCCTAATGCTGCGACCCCTTAATACAGTTCCTCATGTTGTGGTGACCCCCAAGCATAACATTCTTTTCGCTGCCACTTCATAACTGTAATTTTGCTGGGATTTATAGTTAACCTACAATCAAAGAGCATTCTGAACTCCACCAATGATGGAATTGAACCAAACTTGGCACACAGAACTCCCATGACAAACAGAAAATACTAGAAGGGTTTGGCGGGCATTGACCTTGAGTTTTGGAGTTGTAGCTCACCTACATCCAAAGAGTAATGTGGACTCAAATAGTGACAAATCTGGACCAAACTTGGCACTAATACCCAATATGCCCAAATGTGAACACTGGTGGAGTTCGGGGAAAATAGACGTTGATATTTGGGAGTTGTAGTTGCTGGGATTTATAGTTCACCTACAATCAAAGAGCATTCTGAACCACACCAATGATAGAATTGGGCCAATTTTTCCACACAGAACCCCTTTAACCAACAGAAAATACTGTGTTTTCTGATGATCTTTGGCGACCCCTCTGACAACCCCTGGCGGGGCCGCCCCCCCAGGGGTCCAGACCCCCAGGTTGAGAAACGCTGCTCTAAGCAGATAGCGCCATGCTTCAATTTCTATGTTCCAGAAGGTGCAGGAAGTGCCATCGATCAACGGATCAGTTTAACCATTTCCCTCTCTTATGCCCCTTGCTCCTTATCCTCTTGGATAAATGCAGAACACCAAAAACATCTTAGCTGATTTAAATCATGTTTTTTCATGTCAGGAATGACTTGAGAAACTGCAAGTTGCTTCTGGTGTGAGAGAATTGGCCATCTGCAAGGACGTTGCCCAGGGGACGCCCGGGTGTTTTTGATGTTTTACTATCCTTGTGGGAGGCTTTTCTCATGTCCCCGCATGGAGAGCTGGAGCTGACAGAGGGAGCTCATCTGCGCTCTCCCCGGATTCGAACCTGCAACCTGTCGGTCTTCAGTCCTGCCGGCACAAGGGTTTAACCCACTGCGCCACTGGGGACTCCTTAAATCACTGAAACCTATTGCAAGATGCCTTTCATGCTATTTACAGGCAGAACAATGCATGCTAAGTCCTTTCACCTCGCTGCCTCTCGCAGATGTAGGTTGGGTTATACATTGTAAATTATGCACATGTAGTCAGTGTTTCCCTGCATCCTGCAGAAATCCTGACAGGAAACCCTTCCTGCTTTTCCCAAGGTCAAACGGTGAGGCAGTTGCTTCACGCACATCTTAACATCACACCTGCCTTTGGGCTTCTTATGTCTCTTTCAAACCAGTGGCAAAACCAGGACCATTGGGTGCAATGTGAACTTTGCAGCCTCCTTTTCGATGCAGCTACGACCTGCTCACATTTTGATTGATAGTTACTCCTTGGCTGTCTAACAAAAAAAAATCAATGCCATGTTCTCTCCTCTGGGAAGCATTTCAACATTTTTATTAAACATTCAGGGGTTAAAGAAATTGGCAAACAAGGATCTACAATGGGAAATTACAATAGAACTATTATACAGGGATTGGCCAGACTGCAGGAAAACAATGGTGCAAAGAGACAGGATCTGGAGTATTCAAGCTCCGGAGAAGACCTCCCTTTTTCCAACTGACCAGAATTGCTTAGAATAGTAGAATAAGCCACGAAGCTTTGCATGCTCTTTCTAGACCTTGGAAACTATCATTTCTCTTTCCCTTTCTAAGAGCTACTGTGTTCTCGCTGAATTCTTTGGGACACAAATAATAATAATAATAATAATAATAATAATAATAATAATAATAAGAAGAAGAAGAAGAAGAAGAAGAACAACAAGAACAACAACAACAACAACATAATAATAATAATAATAATAATAATAATAATAATAATAATAATGTGTTCTGGAGCACAATACTCTTGACAAAGTATGGATTGTTGATGTCGCCATCCCAGGTGACAGCAGGATTAAAGAGAAACAACTGGGAAAGCAGACACGATATGAGGATTTCAAAATCGAACTGCAAAGACTCTGGCACAAGCCAGTCAAGGTGGTCCCAGTGGTGGTCGGCACACTGGGTGCAATGCCTAAAGACCTTGGCCTGCACTTAAGCACAATCGGCGCTGACAAAATTACCATCTGCCACCTGCAAAAGGCCACTTGACTGGGATCTGCATGCATTTTTCGCGGATACATCACACAGTCCTAGATATGGGAAGTGTCCAATGTGTGATCCAATACAACAGCCAGCAGACTGATCTTGTCTGCTGAGGACTCATCTTGTTGTGTTTCAAATAATAATAACAACAACAGCAATAACAGCAATGTATCTCTTTGAGATGCCAAAGGGTGGCACATCACTCTTGGGGAAGCTCATTGCTCCTTATGACATATTTTTGCCTTAACTTGTTGTATATTATGTTGTCGAAGGCTTTCATGGCCAGAATCACTGGGATGCTGTGAGTTTTCCAGGCTGCATGGCCATGTTCCAGAAGCGTTCTCTCCTGATGTGTCACCCACATCTATGGCAGGCATCCTTAGAGGTTGAGGGGTCTATTGGAAACTAGGAAAATAGGGTTTATATATCTAGTGGGAGGCCATTAAATGTAAATCAAGGTGGCCAATTTCACCTTGATTCAATTGGGATACAGAGAGTTCTTTCTCCCATCCTGGACATTATTCCACAGATATATAAACCCCACTTGCCTAGTTTCTAACAGACCCCTCAACCTCTGAGGATGCCTGCCATAGATGTGGGCAAAACGTCAGGAGAGAATGCTTCTGGAACATGGCCATACAGCCTGGAAAACTCACAGCAAACTTGCATATTTCAATTGGCATTGAAGTACACAAGATGCAATAGTGTCAAAAAGAAGTGTGAAGACCACACGTAGATTGCTACCAGCCATTATGCTTTCTATGGCTTGTTTAATGCATGGAGCACATTGAAATAGAGTCATAAGCAACTGACACATCCAGTCATTTACACAATTGGTAAATAGATCATAGAATAAGAATAATAGAGTTCTAGAGATCCCAAAGGCCATCCAGTCCAACCCCATTCTGCTCAGGAGAAACCTCTAAAATATATGTTACTATCTGAAACCAATTCCTTTAACCACTAGGACAAGCTCTTCCGGCTCTGTAAAAAAAAAAGTCTTGTCCCATCCAACCCAATCTGTTTTCCTCTATGCCTTCCTCTTGATGGCAAATGGAACTCACTATAATTTTGGATAGAGCCAACAATAAAGAGACCATGAATACGGAAAGTCCAGTGGCAACCCATTTTTCATCCATTTTCTATTTATTTCAAAACCTCTATAAATATGGATATGAAACCCCCAGTGATGCAATGGGTTAAATCCTTGTACCAACAAGACTGCTGACCAAAAGGTTAGTGGCTCAAATCTGGGGAGCGGAGTGAGCTCCCGTCTGTCAGCTCCAGCTTCCCATGCGGGGACATGAGAGAAGCCTCCCACAGGATGGTGAAACATGCAGGCGCCGTCCTTGAAGACGGCCAATTCTCTCACACCAGAAGTGACTTGCAGTTTCTCAAGACACTCCTGACACCCCCAAAAATTGATATGAAAATGCCATTATTAATATTGTTACTTAGCAATGCCATTTGTGCAATTAATGCTTAGTGCAACGACAGGTCCGAAATTCCTAAATTTTTCAAACTCTAGATTCCTCCAGCTGGTTGGCTGAGATAGTGGCCCCTTGGCTACTGGATAGTCCAATGCCCACAGAGTGCTTCGTGCAAAACATTATTCAAAATATTGTGTATTAAACTACCTTGGGACTAAGGTATCTATGAAAGAGAAATAATGTTGTGTCTAGGCTTGGGATCCATCTCCAAGAGATCTAACGACGTATATAGATGCACATACAGGTATTCTGAAATCTGGAAAAGAAAAACTTGAAATCCAAAACACTTCTGGTTCTGGATAAGGGATACTCAGCATGTATTGCTGTTTAGGAATGCAAGTGCCTCTATTGTGATTATAAGGGCACGCTTTCTTTCTCTCTCTTTATGCTAGAAATCCTAATCTAGTTGATTTTGGGAAGCAATGATGTTGCAGTGTCCCTATTGCCATGAGTTCGGACTGCAGAGGAAACCCAATGCTAGAAATGGAGGGCACCTCAGAGGCCATCTAGTTCAACCTCCTTTCTTCTCTTAAGTTTTTCGGCTGACTTTTTATGGGTATTTCATTCTGATTATTTCTTTATTATTTTCTCTTGTAATATGCTGCATGTTTTTTTTAATCCCACTCCAGCTCCTCCTTCCTGTCATTTAATAGATTTATCCAAGGTTTGATCAGTATTTCTCAACCTGGGGGTTGGGACCCTGGGGGGGGGGGGCGCAAGGAGATGTCAGAGGGGCTGCCAAAGACCATTGGAAAACACAGTATTTTCTGTTGGTTGTGGGGGTTCTGTGTGGGAAGTTTGGCCCAATTCTATCGTTAGTGGGGTTCAAAATACTTTTTGATTGTAGGTGAACTATAAGTCCTAGCAACTACAACTCCCAAATGTCAAGGTCTATTTTCCCCAAACTCCCACCAGTGTTCATATTTGGACATATTAAGTATTTGTGCCAAGCTTGGTCCAGATCCATCATTGTTTGAGTCCACAGTTCTCTCTAGATGTAGGTGAACTACAACTCCAAAACTCAAGGTCAATGTCCACCAAACCCTTCCAGTATTTTCTGTTGGTCATGGGAGTTTTGTGTGCCAAGTTTGGTTCAATTCCGTCATTGGTGGAGTTCAGAATGCTCTTTGATTGTAGGTAAACTATAAATCCCAGCAACTACTACTCCCAAATGACAAAATCAATCCCCCCAAACCCCACCAGTATTCAAATGTGGGCGTATCGGGTATTTGTGCCAAATTTGGTCCAATGAATGAAAATATATCCTGCATTTCAGATATTTACATGACGATTCAGAACAGTAGCAAAATTACAGTTATGAAGTAGCAACGAAAATAATAATAAGGAGCCTCCGGTGGCGCAGTGGGTTAAACCCCTGTGGCGGCAGGACTGAAGACCGACAGGTTGCAGGTTCAAATCTGGGGAGAGGTGGATGAGCTCCCTCTATCAGCTCCAGCTCCTCATGCAGGGACATGAGAGAAGCCTCCCACAAGGATGATAAAAAAACATCAAATCATCCAGGCATCCCCTGGGCAACGTCCTTGCAGACGGCCAATTCTCTCACACCAGAAGCGACTTGCAGTTTCTCAAGTCGCTCCTGACACGACCAAAAAAAAAACACCCCAAAAATAATGTTATGGTTGGGGGTCACTGCAACATGAGGAACTGTATCAAGGGGTCGCAGCATTACGAAGGTTGAGAAACACTGCTCAAGATGCTCGTGTGTATGTATATGTATATATATATATATATATATATATATATATATATATGTCTGATTTTGATTGATTCTGTTTTCTTATAGTTTGTAAGCCACAGTACAGCAAGACCCCTAAGTTCTGTGGGGTATGCAACCAAACATCATTGAATTGCCCAGCATGCCATTGAGTTTTAATTGATGTCCTTCTGTTTTAATATTTGTATGTCATGGATTTGGAGTTGCATTGTTCTTTTCTCGGTGTAGTGGGCTGCTTTGTGTCTCAGTTGAGACAAAAGACCAGGATATTAATTATTATTATTATTATATTATAATAATAGGCAGCCAACACTTTGGAGCTCACGGTTCGCTGTCTGCGGTGCTGGAAACCTCTCTCTTTGCAGAGCTGCCTTGCATGCAAAGAGGTGCTGGCTTGCGGTAATCGCCGGCAAAAGAGATCTGTAAGCTATTACAGCCTTTCTCACAACACACTTTAAAAAATAAAATCCACCTCTGAACCTCTTTTTCCTCATTCCCTTGTAATCCCTTTTGCTAGGAAATTAGGATTTGTTGGAATGGCTATTTGCACGTGTTGGCAAGGTTGCACTTCCAATACATATGGATGGAAGAATGGTTCCTTTTATATGGAATTAAGGGAGCATGCAACCGTATCTCCCCATTGCAATATCTATCTATCTATCTATCTATCTATCTATCTATCTATCTATCTATCTATCTATCTATCTTTCTTTCTGCCTATATGTCTGTCCGTCCATCCATCCGTCCGTCCGTCCTGTCCATTCATCCATCTATCCGTCCTGTCCATTTATCCATCTATCCATCCATCCATCCATCCATCCATCCATCCATCCATCCATCCATCCATCCATCCATCCATCTATCTATCCTATCTCTCTCTCTATCTAGTTAGCTAGCTATCTAGCAATCTAGCTATCTAGCTAGCTATCTATCCAGGTTGAGCATGTCACACATACCTTCCTTGGGCTGAATCTTTCCGGCTGCATCCAAGGCTTGCTTTCTCCTCCTTTGTATCCTTCTTTCCTTCCTTGTCCCTGAACAAGATCCTGCCGGAGGTCTGAGTGCCACCACCAACACGGCAGTCTCTTCTGCTCTCCTGAGCCAACTGGATGCACAGAATGCTGAATAAGAGGAAATACTCGCTCTCCCCTCCCCTGTATAGTACCGCAGCCTAAGAGAGAGGCTGGAAGAGCATCACTTGCAGGCACTGTTTGCCACAAGGAAAGAGAGAGGCGCACACAGCGCACAGCCTGGAGCCCCCGCCTTGTGTGACAGCGCAGACAGATCTTCCCCCTTTATGGATAGAGGGGTTTGGGGAAGGAAGGAGGGACCAAAGGCAAGGAGGGATGTCTTTGTCTTGGGAGGAGCGCAGGAATGCATAGACATGCCTCTAAGCACAGAGACATAAAGAGGGATGCTGTGGGGTTCAAGATACAGGTATCTGAATCATGGAGTTAGAAGATACAGAATGGGGGACATATGGCTCAAGAGCAGTACGTGTGAAAAAGGTCTTGGGGTCCTCATGGACAAGTTAAACATGAGCCAACAATGTGATGTGGCAGCAAAAAAAGCCAATGGGATTTTGGCCTGCATCAATAGGAGCATAGTGTCTAGATCCAGGGAAGTCATGCTACCTGTCTATTCTACCTTGGTTAGACCACATCTGGAATATTGTGTCCAATTCTGGGCACCACAATTGAAGAGAGATATTGACAAGCTGGAAATGTGTCCAGAGGAAGGCGAAAATGAGCAAGAGTCTGGAGAACAAGCCCTATGAGGAGTGGCTTAAAGAGCTGGTCATGTTTAGCATGAAGAAGAGAAGGCTGAGAGGAGACATTATAGCCATGTATAAATATATGAGATGAAGTCATAGGGAGGAGGGAGCAAGCTTGTTTTCTGCTGCCCTGGAGACTAGGACGCAGAACAGTGGCTTCAAACTACAAGAAAGGAGATTCCATCTGGACATTAGGCAGACCTTTCTGACTGTGAGAGCCGTTCAGCAGTGGAACTCTCTGCCCCGGAGTGTGGTGGAGGCTCCTTCTTTGGAAGCTTTTAAACAGAGGTTGGATGGTCATCTGTCAGGGATGCTTTGAATGCAATTTTCCTGCTTCTTGGCAGGGGGTTGGACTGGATGGCCCATGAGGTCTCTTCCAACTCTTCCATTTTATGAGATCCCAAGAGCCATCCAGTCCAACCCCCTGCCATGCAGGATAATACAATCCAAGTCCTCCTGACAATGCAGCCATTCCTACCACGTTTGGATAGTGGTGAGGTATTCTGAGACTTGTAATCCAACAGCATATGGAGGATTAAGCCTTCCCCATCTATGCTCTACATCAGCCACAATCACACTTGTGTCCTTTTACTAAATTTTACTTTCGCCACTCTATTCCAAGTACAAGTTAGAATCATAGAATTTTTGTGTGTGCGTAAGGAGCGACTTGAGAAACTGAAAGTCGTTTCTGGTGTGAGAGAATTGGCTTCCCAGGACATGCCCAGATATTTTGATGTTTTACCATCCTGTGGGAGGCTGCTCTCATGTTCTTGCATGGGGAGCTAGAGCTTAGATGGGAACTCATCCTGCTCCTCGGATTCGAACCACCAACCTTTCAGTCAGCAGTCCAGCCAGCATAAGGGTTTAACCCAGTGCTTCTCAACCTTCCTAATGCCACAACCCCTTAATACAGTTCCTCATGTTGTGGTAATCAACAACAATAAAATTATTTTCATTGCTACTTCATAACTGTAATTTTGCTACTGTTATGAATCATAATGTCAATATCTGATATTCAGGACTATTTTCATTCACTGGACCAAATTTGGCACAAATACCTAATACGCCCAAATTTGAATACTGGTGGGGTTGGGGGTATGTGTGTGTTTAGGTGGGTTAATTTTGTCATTTTGGAGTTTTAGTTACTGGGATTTATAGTTTACCTACAATCAAAGAGCATTCTGAACTACACCAAAGATGGAATTGAACCAAACTTGGCACACAGAACACCCATGACCAACACAAAATACTGGGAGGGTTTGGTGGGCATTGACCTGGAGTTTTGGAGTTGTAGTTCACCTATATCCAGACAGAACTGTGGACTCAAACAATGATGGATCTGGACCATCTGGACCAAACTTGTCACAAATCCTCAATATGCCCAAACGTGAACACTGGTGGAGTTTGGGGAAAATAGATCTTGACATTTGGGAGTTGTAGTTGTTGGGATTTATAGTTCACCTACAATGAAATAGCCTTTTGAACTCCACTAATGATAGAATTGGGCCGAACTTCCCACACAGAACCCTCTTGACCAACAGAAAATACTGTGTTTTCGATGGTCTTTGGTGGCCCCTCTGACACCCCTCCCCCCTTGAAACCCCCCCCCCCCCCCAAGGTGTCCTGACTCCGAGGTTGAGAAATGCTGGTTTAGTGTTTTGAAATTTTGGCTATGATTCTGGGGACCAGGGTTCGAATCCCTGCTCAGCCATGCAAACTTACTGATTCTGGCCCATTGCCTTATGAAGAGAAAAAGATGTTTTGTCTCCTTGATTATGTCAAAATTTCTGAGGTTTGCCTGTCCCTGTCCCTGCCTCCTCCCAATTTCTTATTTTAGCGAATGAGTAGGAAGTATCTGGAACAAACACATATAAACACACACACATCATCCCTCTGCAAAATCTCTGGATCCTAGCCATTCAGATTGCTTGTCTGTCTCCATCTCAAAAGAAAACCCAACTTGTTGTGCAAAGTTGGCCAGAAGCAAGAAAAATGCTTGGTGCATTGAGCCAAGCCTATCTTTGGAAGATATTGTTGGGAGAAACCAAATGTAGAAAACCAAAAGTATAGAAATCCCCAAAGTCTTTGAATGCAAACTCTCCTTGTAAATGCAGTCTCTGGAATTTTTAAAATAAGAGGTTGGATGTCCATCTGCCAGGAGGGCTTGAATGGTGTCTTTCTACATTGCAGAATGTGGAATGGCCTTTGAGGTCTTTTGCAATTCTGTGATTCTATGAAATTTGATCATCTCATTTGCATTGGATGAGGGTGAATATACATAGTCAAATTAATGTAGCTTGACCGTCACTTTAACTCAGGTGTCCTTAAACTAAGGCCCGGGGGGGGGGGGGCGGATATGGCCCTCCAAGGTCAGTTAACTGGCTCTCACGCAGTCAACCTAAATCTGAAATGACTTGAAAGCACACAACAACAACAACAGCAACAATCCTATCTCATCAGCCAAAAGCAGGCCCACACTTCCCATTGAAATACTAATAAGTTTATATTTGTTAAAATTTTCTTCATTTTAATTATCATATTGTTTTGAAGTATTTTTGCACTACAAATAAGATATGTGCAATGTGCATAGGAATTTATTCATGTTTTTTTTTAAATTATAATTCGGCCCTCCAACAGTTTGAGGGACTGTGACCTGGCCCTCTGTTTAAAAAGTTTCAGGACCCCTGCTTTAACTGGTGTGGAATCAGAAATGTGTGTTGGAGCATGCAAGAAATCAGTTAGTGTGTGTGTGTAAAATACGATGCATGAAGCTGATTAGTTGAGCTTCGCCCAGGGAGATGGCTGAGTCTGGGACTTTTGGATACAGTTACATTTTTCAGGCTTGAGCTATGCAAGTGCTTGCAAAGAAGCAGACAGAGAGACACAGTTTGGAATGTGCTCTTGCTTCAGGAGCTGCTGGAAGGAATTTATCTACACCAGTGGTTCTCAACCTGGGGATTGGAACCCCGGGGGGGGGGGGGTCGCGAGGGGGTGTCAGAGGGGTCGCCAAAGACCATCAGAAAACACAGTATTTTCTGTTGGTCATGGGGGTTGTGTGTGGAATGTTTGGCCCAATTCTATCGTTGGTGAGGTTCAGAATGCTCTTTGATTGTAGGTGAACTATAACAACTGCAACTACCAAATGTCAAGGTCTATTTTCCCCAATCTCCACCAGTATTCACATTTGGGCATATTGAGTATTCATGCTAAGTATAGTCCAGATCCATCATTGTTTGAGTCCACAGTGCTCTCTGGGTGTAGATGAACTACAACTCCAAAACTCAGGGCCAATGCCCACCAAACCCTTCCAGTCTTTTCTGTTGGTCATGGGAGTTCTGTGTGCCAAGTTTGGTTCAATTCCATCATTGGTGGAGTTAATAAAGCTCTTTGATTGTAGGTGAACCCTAATATATCCCAGTAACTAAAACTCACAAATGATAAAAACAATCTCCCTCAATCCCACCAGTATTCAAATTTGGGTGTATTGGGTTGTTGTTGTTCATTCGTTCAGTCGTCTCCGACTCTTCGTGACCTCATGGACCAGCCCACGCAGAGCTCCCTGTCGGCCGTCACCACCCCCAGCTCCTTCAAGGTCAGTCCAGTCACTTCAAGGATGCCATCCATCCATCTTGCCCTTGGTCGGACCCTCTTCCTTTTTCCTTCCACTTTCCCCAGCATAATTGTCTTCTCTAGGCTTTCCTGTCTCCTCATGATGTGGCCAAAGTACTTCAACTTTGTCTCTAGTATCTTTCCCTCCAATGGGCAGTCGGGCTTTATTTCCTGGAGGATGGACTGGTTGGATCTTCTCGCAGTCCAAGGCACTCTCAGAACTTTCCTCCAACACCACAGTTCAAAAGCATCTCTTCCTTCGCTCAGCCTTCCCTAAGGTCCAGCTCTCACATCCGTAGGTTACTACAGGGAATACCATGGCTTTGACTAGGCGGATCTTTGTTGTCAGTCTGATGTCTCTACTCTTCACTATTTTATCGAGATTGGACATTGCTCTCCTCCCAAGAAGTAAGCGTCTCCTGATTTCCTGGCTGCAGTCTGCGTCGGCAGTAATCTTTGCACCTAGAAATACAAGGTCTGTCACTGCCTCCACGTTTCTCCTTCTATTTCCCAAGTGTCAGTCATTCTTGTTGCCATAATCTTGGTTTTTTTGACGTTTAGCTGCAACCCGGCTTTTGCGCTTTCTTCTTTCACCTTGATTAGAAGGCTCCTCAGCTCCTCCTCGCTTTCGGCCATAAGGGTGGTGTCATCTGCATATCTGAGGTTGTTAATGTTTCTTCCAGCAATTTTCACCCCAGCCTTGCATTCA